TTTCGGATTCTATCCCTTCTTGTGTGCCCGCAAAACCAACGCAACATCCGCATCTCTGCTACACTTAGTTGTTGGACATGTTGCCTTTTTGTAGGCCAACATTCAGCACCGTATAGTATCGCCGGGTGAATCGCCGTCCTATAGAACTTACCTTTTAGCCTTTGTGACACCCTCTTATCACAGAGAACGCCCGAAGCTTGACGCTATTTTAACCAACCGACTGCAATTCTATGCCTAACATCTTCATCAATGACGCCATCCTTTTGTAGCATCGATCCTAAATACCGGAAAGTCTCCTTCTTGGCCACCACTTGCCCGTCAAGGCTAACATCACCATCATCATGAGTAGCCATGCTGAAAGCGCACGTCATGTACTCGGTCTTCGTCCTACTAAGTATGAAGCCTCTCGACTCTAACGTGTCCTTCCACAGCTCTAACTTCCTATTTACCCCGGCCCTACTCTCGTCAACTAGCACCACATCATCAGCAAAGAGCATACACCAAGGGAGATCACCTTATATGTCCCTTGTGGCCTCATCCATCACCAAGGCAAATAAATAAGGGCTCAATCCTGACCCCTGGTGTAGTCCTATTTTATTTGGGAAGTCGCTGGTATCGCCCCCACATGTTCGAACACACGTCATCGCATCCTTGTACATATCCTTGATGAGGGTAATGTACTTAGATGGGACTTTGTGCTTTTCTAAGGCCCACCACATGACATTCCTCGGTACTCTGTCATAAGCCTTCTCAAGGTCGATAAAGACCATGTGCAAGTCCTTCTTTTGGTCCCTATATCTCTCCATCAACTGTCGTATTAGGAAAATCGCCTCCATGGTCGACCTTCCAGGCATAAACCCAAATTGGTTTGGGGTCACACTCGTCACTCGTCGTAGGCGATGCTCGATAACCCTCTCCCAGAGCTTCATCGTATGGCTCATCAACTTAATTCCACGGTAGTTACCACAGCTTTGAACATCACCCTTGTTCTTAAAGATCGGTACTAATGTACTTCTCCTCCATTCATCAGGCATCTTGTTTGACCGAAAGATGAGGTTAAAAAGCTTAGTTAACCATACTAACGCTCTGGTGCCCAAACATCGCCACACCTCAATAGGAATACCATCAGGGCCTATTGCTTTACCTCCCTTCATCCTCTTCATAGCTTCTCCGATCTCTGCCTCTCGGCTCCTCCTCACCAAGCATTTGTTGGTATCCTCAAATGAGTCAACCAACTCCAGGGTAGGACCCTCACTCTCCCCATTAAACAATTTGTCGAAGTACTCTCGCCATCTGTTCTTGATCTCCCCATCCTTCACCAGTGGCCGATCCGACTCATCCTTGATGCATTTGATTTGGTTGATATCCCTTGTCTTCCTCTCTCGAATCCTAGCTATCCTATAAACTTCCTTCTCCCCCTCCTTCGTGCCTAGGCGCTGATAGAGGTCATCATAGGCCTGACCCTTCGCTACACTCACTGCACGCTTTGCAGCCCTCCTCGCTATTTTATAACTCTCAATGTTGGTTGCACTCTTGTCGAGGTGGAGACGCTTGAAACACTCTTTCTTCTCTTGAATAGCCTTTTGCACCTCGTCATTCCACCACCAAGTGTCTTTCGCATCCTGCTTGCCTCCCCTACTCACACCAAGTACTTCTGCAGCCACCTTCCGTACACATGTTGTCATCTTTAGCCACATGTCATCTGCATTTTCTCCTTCTTCCCAAGGCCCCTCGCCTAGCATCCTATCCCTAAACGTCTGCGCCACTTCCCCTTTAACCTTCCACCACTTCGTTCCCACGGTCTTGGCACGTTTGTCCCTGTGGACACGTATTCGGAATCGAAAGTCCGCCACCACCAGCTTATGTTGGGGGACAACACACTCCCCAGGTATCACCTTGCAATCTACGCAAGCACGTCTATCCTCCCTCCTTGCAAGGATAAAGTCGATCTGACTTGAGTGTCGTCCGCTATGGAAGGTCACTAGGTGAAATTCTCTCTTCCTAAAGAGGGTGTTCGCTATCAGCAAGTCGTAGGCCATCGCAAAGTCCAACACACCCTCCCCCTCTTCATTCCTACTACCATACCCAAATCCTCCGTGCACTCTCTCGAAACCTATATTAGTCGCGCCCACATGTCCATTTAGGTCTCCTCCTACGAAGAGCTTCTCGCTGGCAGGCACCGTACTGACCAAGGTGTCCAGATCTTCCCAAAATTGCCTCTTGGCGCTCTCACTAAGACCTACCTGAGGGGCATAGGCACTGATCACATTCATGGTCACATCTCCAACTACCAATCGGACTAGGATAATCCGATCGCCTTGCCTCCTAACATCTACAACTCCATCCTTAAGGCTCCTATCGATCAGGATGCCTACACCATTCCTACTCGATGAAGCCCCAGTGAACCAAAGCTTGAAGCCAGTATCCTCCACCTCCTTCGCCTTCTGCCCCTTCCATTTAGTCTCCTAGACGCATAGGATATTAACACGCCTCCTAATAGCTGCATCGACTAGTTCACGTAGCTTACCCGTTAGGGACCCTACGTTCCAACTACCTATCCGGACCCTAGTTGGTTCGACTAGCTTCCTTGCCCTTCGCACCCGTCGAGAGAGATGCGAAGACCCTTGCTCGTTTTCCACTACACCCGGGCGCCGATGTAGCGCGCCACTAAGGAAATGACGACCCGGTCCTTGCTCACTTAACACCATGCCCAAACCACGACATGGCGCGTCCCTGAGGGGGAGACGACCCGGCCCTTGCCCATTTGACACCATACCCGGGTTCCGATATGGCGCGTCGCTAAGAGGGTTACGCCCCAACGAATATCTATTGTGTTTCATCTCCATAGAATGGCTAGGTTTTACGTTGGCTCGCCAAGCCTATCACAACCCTCCTCCTTTACCAGGGCTTGGGACCTGCTATGTTGAGACAACATAGGCGGAGTTAGCCATAGCAGTCTATCATTGTAATTTTTATCCTCAACCATCCATGTGGGGTTGACTCTTTGAAGCGAAGTGACTTGGCTAACTTATTTGTTACTATCTGAGGTCTTAGTTAGAAAAGAGAAAAGCTTGGAGAGAATTATATGGAAATGAATTTGAGTTACAAAAGAGGCGGATGTAGGGTATCTGACCACTAACGTCCTCGAAATATTTTTGCTGTTACGGTTGGATGAATTCAGTCAAGTTTTGGGATTCCAGCTAAGTGATGATGGTGGTGTAGCATTGATGTTCTGGTCTTAGTTTTGACAATTGATGTTTGTTGATGGTGAATGAATAGTCACATTTGAAAAAAAGATGACTACTTTTTAGCTTATTCTTTTTGTTTCGTGCATCTTAAAGTATTATGCTCGCATGCTGAAATAATATTGTGTAACAAACAAAATCCATAGCTATTAGCTCAGAATAGGATCTATTTCTCGTTGTAAGGTCTGAATTTGAAATGTTGCAGACAACAATCTTTGGTTTCAGCCAGAATGCACTGGCGGTGGTTCTGATGGCAAAGTGGGC